CCGCCCACGGGGGCTCCTCTCCCCACGCACGCGGCACGCGGCAAGCGGGTCCCCCGGGCCGTCGGCCGTCGCGTCACTCGCGCGGCACCTCCGGCGACGCGGCCCCTTGCACGCGGAGTCACTACGGCGACCTACTTCTGTCGAACAGTCGTACCCCGTGATCCGGCCGCCACCCAAGTGCGCGCGCGTCAGCGCTGCGTTCGACGGCGACTATGAAATCGCACTCGTTGTTTATCGTTGGTCATCGTTTCTGTTTCTTTTGAGTCGAGTGTATGTTCGCTTCTTTGCCTTCCGGAGGAGGCATCGGCGACTGACAAATCGACCACGTCCGCGACGGAGTAAAAATGGCCCCGCTGCGCCTGACGCCACGCCACGGCGTGCCTGGCTGCTACTTGTTGCGTTTCGCGTTTATGAATGGCGCGTCGCGGCCGCGGTTCCCGGCGCGTGGGTGGCGGCGGTGGCAGGACCTTGCCGCCACGCCCATCCTGTCCGCCGAGCGAAAACGCAGCGCGCATTTGTTTTCCTGCGCCAGCGGGCGGGAGGGCCCCGGTGGCTTTCGGCCCTGCACTGGAGGGAAGGTGGAATGGGAACCTTTCGGTGGAACTGCGCGCGCGTGTTTCGTGTTTGGGATCGCTAGGCCGCTGGCAGAGTATACGTCCAATTTTCGGAAGCTGGCTCGCTGCTGCCGCTGGCCGGGCCGGCCTGGCCGTGCGCCGTGCTGCCGCGAGGCCCGGCAGGCCCGGCAGGTCCGCCTCCGAACAGCGGCCGGCGGTAACGAAGTTTAACGAAGTCGGCCTGGCAATTATTGCTGGCTGCCAAAACCAACATGTTAATCATCGAAGCGGTCGGGCCGGCGCGGCGCGGCGCCCGGCAGGTGTGGCCTGGCGCACTGCACAGTGGGCCAGAGGACCGGTGGAGCCGGCAAAAATTCTAGACGCATTTTGAGCTCCTCAGTCGTTAAATGGGACTCGAACAGAACGTGTGACCCCACCAATGGATTGCGCTACGAACGATGAATCCATTGGTGGGGTCACACGATCGGTTCGAGTCCTCTTTGAAGGCGCGGCTTCGGCCGCCGTGCTGCGGGCCATGCTCGCACGCACTTCGCAGCTCGCGGAAGCGCGCGTCCGCTCCGCGTCTCCGGTTTCCGTCCAGCTTGCGATCGTGCCTCTTCGCCCCGTCTCTCTCGCGGCCCTACAGTGCACCCCACGAGTGCGAGGGAGACGGGCAGGCAGCCCAGCGTGACGCTATCGACCAATCAGCGCCGGCCGAGGAAATATGGAAATGAGTCCGGCCATCTGATTGGCTGTCGGCCGGCCTGAGTCATGCGCGCCGAGGCGGCCTGCCTGCGCGGTCTGCCCGGCCTGCCCGACGCGGACCGCGGACCGGGGCGCGAATGTGTCATCGCATCGCGCCAGCGCACAGTGGACCAGAAGACCGGCCCCGGCGGCCAAAACTCTAGACACATTTTGAGCTCCGGAGTCGCTAATCAAGGACTCGTAGGGTCAGGGCGGGGAAAAACTGGACAGGGGAAGAACTGGACACCCCACATTTTACTTCAAATGCCGTAAGTACTGGCCTGACAACTGTCGTGTAATGAACCGCTGATACCACGGAACAACTTTTGATAGTTGTTATTCCTGTGCCTACGGTATTTGAAGTAAAATATGGGGTGTCCAGTTCTTCCCCTGTCCAGTTCTTCCCCGCCCTGACCCTACCAAGCGTGTGACCCCACCAATGCAGAGCAAACCATTGGCCACTGTTTTGATGACATTCTTGTGAGGAAAATCAGCCTTGACACTGACACTGCCACAAAACGACGACCACATTCACAGTGGGGCCGCGCTTGTCGCGCTATCATGTCGGCTGGCTGCGGTCTGATTCCGAACAGCAGTGCCGTCGCGCTGTCCCTCTCGCACTCGCAGTGCACCGGAGGGGTGCGAGAGAGACAGAGCGCTGCTCGGTATCAGCCTGCTGGGCCCGTGCGGCCGAGAGTGAGCCATCGACGTCGACCTTGAAAGGCCAGGCCAGAGAAAGCCGGAGATCCCTATTCGATATTAATCTTTTCATGTCGGGGATTCAAAATTGTGTCCATGAAAAAACAACAAAGGCCTCACTGGCAAGGCAAAATTTGGACCTAACGGTCGGGTCCGAGCCGCGTAACGTGCTGAAAATCATTACTAAACTCATGACCGCCCTTTCATTTCTTTTCCGTTCTCGTTTCGCAACAAAACAAAAGCAAAAGCGGTGCCGTGCCCGTCTTTGGCGCGAGCCTCGGCGCGAGCCTTTGCCCTACCCGGGCTTAATTTGGGGCGAGCGTCGCGAGGCGTCGCGGGGGTTATGATTTACGAGGCACGCCGTGCACGCCGCGCACGCCATTGTCGACCCGTTATCGCACCTCCGCGCGACACGTGACACACACGCACGCCGCGCACGGCCAGCAGACTCATTCCGAGTCGCTCTGTCTCTCTCGCACTCATGGGGCGTCCCGCACAGGTGCGAGAGAGACAGAGCGACGAAAACGTCTCTCGGAATCAGTCTGCCTGCAGTGCACTGCCAGGGCCTCGGCCGAGGCCTCGTCGCCCTGCAGAGCCTGGCCGAGGCCCTGGCCGAGGCCCTGGCCCTCCAGGACGACCTCCTCGACGCCCTGCCCGTGACGCAACGCCGCGCCAGACGCGGGCTCCGAAGAAGAATCGACGCTTCGTCGCTCTGTCTCTGTCGCACCCACGGGGCGTGCGAGGGGTGCGAGAGAGGGAGAGCGAGGGCACGCTTGTTCGGCCTGCGGGCCCTGCTTGCAGGTGGGTGGCCGGCCCAGGCCGAGGCCCAGGCCCACAACAAAGGGCAGGGCCCGCTCAACGCAGCGCTGCGCGACGCCACCCCGTGACCCGCCTTACTTTGTGGTGTAGTCGTTGTTGACACGCACTGTCGAACCGACCGCGGCCCGCCAGGCCACACGGCCACCTAATACAAGTTAACAGCTTCAATTACCCGCGAGGGGCGGGGCTGGCGGGGCTGGCGGGGCGCGGTGCAAGCCGCAGCCTCACAGCCGCTTCAATTAAAAGGAGCCGTCTTTGATGTCCTTGATGGCCTTCTTTGTCTCACAGTCGCTCGAATGGGAGCGCGGGGCTTCCCTCGCGCGGCCGCACCGGGGCGTGGGTTCGAGTACCGGCATCGCAATCTTGTTTTTTTGATGTTTTTATTACCTCTTCTTTTTTTACTGCGCTAGCCAGCTGTCGATGAAAGACAGGAGTCCCTGTCCATCGCGCGTAGTTCGAATATTTTAATGAGACTTTGAGGCCCTTCGTGCGTATGCGTCAGCCGGATGCATGCCGTGGATGGTTTATTTTTTATTTTTTTATTTTCCGTGTGAGGGGACGCGCCGGGCAGGCGACGCGTGCCTTGGTTGCAGGCTTTCAGGCATTCCTGGCCGAACTGTAATAACGTGGTGTCGTCGTTATTCTCGCCAAGAAGAGCCCCCCCCCCCCCCAAAGCTGTTCTCGCGAGATAAATTCTCCCGCTTTTGATTTATTTATTTTACAGGCTACGGGCCAATTGTAAGATTCGCCTTTTTAAAACGTGCGTGTCTCTTTTATTGCCGCTGCACGCACACGCGCCGCCGCGTTGCAGTACGACGCCGCCCACTCCTCGCAGACGGGGAAGGGGGAGGGAGGGGGGAGGAGGACCCCGCCAAGTCCGCCGGCCAACCTTGGCATCGCGCTTCATCGTCGCCCACACCGGCACACTCACACGCACGCCCAACACACGTGCACTCCGTGCGGCGGCGCCGACGGTGTGGCGCGAACGCCTGCGAACCTCGGGGTAGGCAGCACGGCGGCCCGCCTGTCTTGCAGGGCTGCCTACCCCGCGTTCCGCAGGCGCCTTGGAGCGCCCAGCAGCGCCGCGCCAAACCGCTTCCTTTTTCGCCGGGCTGCCGACGGGCGTATGCTTGCGTGCTGCGTCGTTCCCACACAGCGTGCCAGCGACACACAGACACCTTGACGTCTTGACCCCCGCGGCCGATAAGGCGGCGGCCGGCGCTTCGCTGCTCTCGCCCGGTTGCTAAAATACCGGAAACGCGTCGCGATATCGCGATATCGGCAGAGCCGGCGCTGCCTCCCTTTCTGCCCGATAGCGCTGTCTCTGTCCGCGGCCTCGGCCGACCGATAGCGCGCGTCCCATTCATCCCAGTCCCATTCATGCCCAGCCGGCCGGCCGCCTGCCGCGAGCGATGCAGAAGAGTCGCTGTCTCTGTCGCACTCATGGGGCTCTCCGAAAGGGTGCGAGAGAGACAGAGCGACGGATCGCTCGGCTGTCCTGTCCGTCTCGTTTCGGAGGAAAGCAGTAAGCCGCGTGGTAAGCCCCACGGGCGCGTTAATGGCTGCCTCGCGGTGGTCCTGCGATTTGTGGCTGCTTATGGGCAGCGCCAGGCATTGTGACAACTGCCCAAGCCGCTCTTTATGGACTGCCTGCAAATAATCCGGTGCTTCTCCGAGCGGCTCGTGCGACGGCCCGGCCACTTTATTTGACAGCGCATAGGCTGATTCCGGACGGTGCTCTCGTCGTTCCGTCCCTCTCGCACTCGAGGGGCGGTCTGGAATGGTGCGAGGACGACAGAGCGACGATCCACTGTCTGGAATGAGGCTGCTGAAGACTGATTCCGAGAGTCGTTTTTGTCGCTCTGTCTCTCTCGCACTCATGGAGCGTCCCATGTAGGTGCGGGAGAGACATACTACTCTCGGAATGAGTCTACAGTGTAGCCGCCGGACGGCACGGCGGCAAATTACAGGGCCAGGCGGTAGTTTACGTATTGGCGGCCTGCACCGGCAGAGTGAATGTGAACGTGAATGTGACGGCTTGATCTTGCGAGTCTTGCGACCGCCACGCGCGTTTGGCGATAATGAGGCAATTTGCTCACCCTGGTTTGGGCTGCTCGTGGAGCCGACGACTCTCCATTTTGTTTCTGTTTTCCTCTTCTTGATTGCGTTGTTTCTGCTCTCCAGGCTGCGGCTGCCACCCTGCCGGCTCCCAGCACGCGGCGTGCGACATCGTGACGGGGCGCTGCGAGTGCCGGGCCAACGTGGTGGGAAGGACCTGTGATGCCTGCAAGGTTGGTGGAGCCCGGGGTTCCGAGTCTCAATCCGCGGAGCATACCTCCCTCTAACGTTGTCGTTCCTTTGCAGCACGGCTTCTGGGGGCTGGAGGCGGGCGAGGGCTGCGCGCCGTGCCTGTGCGACACGCTGGGCGCCTACAACGAGTCCTGCCACGCGGCCACCGGCCAGTGCCCCTGCAAGCCGGGCATCGGCGGCCGCGCCTGCGACTCGTGCCTCCCCGGCTACGTCGGCTTCTCCCCGGACGGCTGCAGAGGTAAGGGAGCGCTCCGTCCCTCTCGGGTGGGAGAGAGAGGGACGGAGCGACGGCGACTGCAGCTGCATCAGTCGGGTGACTTGTCCACCAGTAACGCCTTGTCGGCGTTCCCTTTGCAGAGTGCGACCCCTGCGACCGGCCGGGACACGTCTGCGACCCAGACACCGGCCACTGCGTGTGCCCGCCGCTCACGTTCGGCGAGGAGTGCGAGGTGTGCGAGATGGACTCGTGGGGCTTCCGCACGGGCCGCGGCTGCAAGGTGAGGCTCCACCTGGCTCCAGGTTGCACAGTGGGCCAGAGGACCGGTGGAGGCGGTCAAAATGTTTTGAGCTCCAGCGTCGCTAAATGGGACGTGTGACTCCACCAATGGACTGCTCTCTGAATGAGGAATCCGTTGGTGGGGTCACACTTTCGGTTCGAGTAGTATCTAGCGACTCCGGGATTTTTGCCGCCTCCACCGGTCCCGCTGTGGGTTGTTCGTGGCCTTTTGCTCGTTGTCAATGTCCTCCTGCTGAACACGCCGTCGTTGCAGCCGTGCGCGTGCGACCCGGCCGGCTCGTACTTGTCGCAGTGCGACGCGGGCACGGGGCAGTGCTCCTGCCGGCGCGGCTTCGCGGGTCCGCGCTGCGACGCCTGCGCCCACGGCTTCTACGGCTACCCCAACTGCCGCGCCTGCCGCTGCGACGCGCGCGGCGCCGACCCCGCCACCTGCGACGCCGAGGGCCGATGCAGCTGCGACGCGCAGGGCCAGTGCAGCTGCAAGGGCAACGCGGGGGGCGCGCGCTGCGACGTCTGCAAGCCCGGCACCTTCGGCCTGCGCGCCGAGGACCACGACGGCTGCCAGGTGGGTTGCCCAGTGGGCCTTGCATTTTTAAAGCAGAGCGCTCGCGTCTGCGACTCCTTGAACTCGTTTTATTGTTTTTCTCGCCCCAGGCCTGCTTCTGCTTCGGGCGGTCGTCGCTGTGCTCGGAGAAAGGGCTGACGTGGGGCCGCGTCACCCAGTTCCGGCCGCGCACCCTCTCCGTGCAGTACGAGTCCACCAACCCCCAGTTCCGGCCCGGCGCGCAGCTCTTCCCCGTCAACACCAAGGAGATCTGCTACATCAACGTGAGGAGCATGTGATTCCAGTGCAGAGTATAGCCGCGGGAGTTCAAGGCCATGACAGAGCTCCCCGTTGTTCGCAGCTGGCGCTGCCCGGCGCCGACAAGAGCCTCAACACGACGCCGGACCGCCTGGACGTGAGCAACAACCTCCGGATCATCCCCGGCGACGCGGGCGACGTGGAGATGGGCGTCAACTACCTGTTCGACACGCCCATCTACTGGCAGCTCCCCAGGCAGTTCCTGGGTGACAGGGTGCTCTCGTTCGGCGGCTTCTTGCGCTTCACGGTGGAGACGGAGGGCGGCTCCACCCTGTTCCCGCCCGAGGTGCTGGACTCGTACCCGCTCATCCAGCTGCAGGGCAACAACCGCATCGTGCTCGAGCACTTCCCGTCGCACTCCAGCACCGACGGCCACTACGAAGTCCGGTCAGTGGGAGGGAGGGAGGGCAACGCATGGCCGGAGCGACCTCTTTTTGTCCTCTTTTTCGGCAGGTCGGACGAAAAGAGGACGTAGTTTTTAATGATCTTTTCTTTTCTGTCCCATACAGCCTCCATCACTCTCTGTGGCGCGCCAAAAACAACGCGACGAGCAAGGTGACGCGCGAGCTGCTCATGCTGGCCCTGCAGAACGTGCAGCACGTCCTCATCCGCGCCACCGACGCCATCGACTTCACCAAGGCCGTGTAAGTGCCGGGAGGCGTCTGTCGTAGTCGTTGCCGCCTTCGGTGTCCTCAGGACGACGTGTGCTTGCAGGCTGCGCGGCATCTCCCTGGACACGGCGCAGGCTGTGCTCGGCCTCCGCGGACCCCCGGCCGTCGGCGTGGAGCTGTGCGAGTGTCCGAGGCAGTACAGCGCCTCCTCGTGCCAGGACCCCAGCATCGGCTTCTTCCGCTGGCACGACAAGACGGCCGTGCACTCCACCATCGTCATCCAGATGATCGGCGAGGCGAGGCCCTGCCAGTGCAACGGCCGCTCCGAGGTGTGCGACGTGGAGTCGGGCCACTGCAAGGTGAGTGTGTTTGTGCGTGCGCCTGGTTGTCTGTGTGTGCGCGTCCTGACCCTCTTGCCCTTGCGCAGAACTGCTCCGCCAACACGGGAGGCCCGGCGTGTGACCGCTGCGCCGAGGGCCACTACGGCCACCCCGACGCGCCCCACGGCTGCCGCGCGTGCCCCTGCCCGTCGGAGCGCCGCAACTTCGCGACGTCGTGCGAGGTGGGCGCCGGGGCCGCGGGCCCGGCCGTGTGCCACTGCAGGGAGGGCTACGAGGGCGCCAAGTGCGAGCACTGCGCGCCGGGGTGGTTCGGACAGCCCCTCCGGCCGGGCGGCTCCTGCCAGCCCTGCCTGTGCGACCCGCTGGGCAGCGCGGCCGACACCTGCGACGACAAGGGTCAGTGCACGTGCCTGCCGGGGGTGTCGGGGCTGCGCTGCAGCCGATGCCCTGCGCGGCAGGTGCTGACGGCGCGCGGGCTGTGCACCACCTGCGACGACGCGTGCACGGGTGACCTGCTCCGCGGCATCGAGGACCTGGCTTTCGACCTGGAGCTGGGCGCGGGCAAGGCGACGGGCGGCGCGCTCGAGGCGCCCTGGGCCGTGCTGGACGGCATCCACGGCCAGGCCAAGCACGCCCGCGCCCGCCTCGACGCGTGGCGCCAGGTCGCGGAGCAGGCCAACGACATCCCCGTGTCCATGCCGGCCACGATGCGGAAGCCCGCCAACCAGGCTCTCAAAGAGGTGAGCGCCAGCGTGCGGCTTCAAGTTCGGTGCGCCATGGGGCACTGAACACGACGGTTTTCGGTTGCAGGCCAAGAAAGTAGAGCACGCCAGCGTGGAGATGAGCGGCGTGGCTTCGCAGCTGCGGCAGGGCGTGGACGGCGTGTTCGATGAGATCGAGAAGACCAGGAAGCAGATCCAAGGTGCGTGGCCGTGTGGCCTCCAGGCACCCCGGCCCTGCTCCAACGCGCAGCCTAACTTACCCCTGGGTTTGCTTCGCTTGCTTGCAGACACGGTGGCCAGCCTCAGGACGTACGCGGCCGGCCCGTCGCCGCACCTGCCGTCAGGACAGCAGGGCAGCGCGCTGGCCGACGCGCAGTACGTGCTGGACTCGATCGTGGCAGCCATGGCCTTCCTGGAGCCGCGCGCGACGCACACGTACAACAACTTCCGCAAGTGCGACGAGATCCACGACGAGCTGGTCAAGCTTCTGGACTTCGGCGATGTGCAGCGCCTTGCCAACGTACGCAACCGGGTGCAGCAGCTGCAGGAGGGGCTGCGCGACCTCAACGAGACCTTGAGCCTCAGCAACAGCAACGCCAGCCAGGTGAGTGGCTATTCCTTCCTGTTGAGTAGGGCTGCGCGGCCGTCACGTGAGTCACGCCCTGTGTTTCTGTCCCGGCAGGTGGATCAGCGCTACACCAACAAGAACAGGCGGAAGATGAAGGAGCTGGTGGCGCGGGCGGCGTGGCTGTCGGCCGAGGAGGTCTCTTTGTCCGCCATGGTGACGGCCAACGCCGAGGCGCTCAACAGCGCGGACGCGGCGGTGAGCGCGACGCAGGTGAACCTGGAGGGTGTGCGCCGCCAGCAGGCCCGCCTGTCCAACCAGACGGCCACCCTAGAGCAGCGCGTGCGCTCCGAGAGCCGGCCCGACCTCACCACGTACTTCATCATCGCCCGGGACCGCGCCAACATGCTGCAGCACACGGCCGACATGTACGAGCGCCTCTTCTCCGGCACCAAGCGCGACGCCGAGCTCGCCCTGCAGGCCAGCGCCGCGTACCGCAACATCGCCGACGCGCTGCGCGAGGCGTGGGCCGCGGCCAGCAACGCGAGCGAGGCCGCGGACTCGGCGCACCGCAAGGCCTACCCCAAGCACCTCGACTCGCTGCTCGACCAGAGCAGCCTCGCCTTCCAGGACTCGCAGCGGCTGGAGGGCTCGGCCAACGAGCAGGTTCGTGGTCCATTCGTGGCCCCGCGTTGCCCACGGAGTGTACTTTACCGGTCCTCACGGTGCCCCTTGCCTTGCAGGCGCGGCGGGTGAGCAGACTCCGGCAGAACCTGGAGGAGCACGAGAGCGTGGTGGCCACCCTCCGCGAGACCATCATCCTGGCCGGGCGCCGCAACAACGACAACCACAAGCCGCTGCAGCAGCTGCAGCAGCTGGAGGGGCAGCTGCTGCTGGAGCGCGGCGAGGCCCAGCGCGTGCTGGACGACATGCTGGACGAGCAGCGCTTGGCGGCGCAGCAGCGCACGCTCGCCGCCAACGTGCTGCACAACGTGACGGCCGTGCTCAGGCCCACCATGGGCGGGCTGTCTCTGGACGGCGACGCGGCCGGCCAGCAGGGCCAGCAGGGCCTCGCCGCCACGGAGAGGCAGCGTGAGTGCGAACCCCTGCGAGGGTTGGGTAGGCCAGCCCGCCGTGCATGGCTGCCTCGTGGTTGCCTGCGCTCCCGGCGCTCGCCCCCTTAAACCTCGGCTTCGTGGTGTTGCAGTGAAGGAGTCCCACACGCTGCTGGTTCGCTCCAAGGAGACGCTCCAGACGCTTGCGGAGGCGTCGGCGGAGCAGCAGCACAACTTCCAGCGCTGGAACGACACCTTCGCCGAGCAGCTGCAGGCCCTCAAGGACAAGATTGCTCGCGCCAGGCACGTCGCGGACGGCGTGAGTACCACTTGCTGTTCCTCTCGTCGCTTGACTCTTTCGACGGTCCGTTGCACGCACCATTCCTCTTTCCAGATCCGCCTGCCGCTGAAGAGCACCAAGGACTCCGCCAAGGACCCCGGATGCTCCCGGTCGTACGCGCTGCCTGAGCCGGGGCCCACGACGACCACGTCCATCAGTCTGTTCTACTCGATATCCGGCCGCGCCAGGTCCGCGCCCATCTTCTACCTGCCCAGCACCGCCACGGTAAGCCGTCCCAGACCCCCGCCTCTCGCCGGTGCGAGTCCAGCGTCTAACTCTTGGTCTCGCGCAGGGCGACTTCATCGCGCTGGACATGGTGGAGCGGCGCGTGCGGCTGTCGTGGGACGTCGGTGGCGGCCCGGGGTCCGTGACGGCGCCGACGACGCTGGTGGCGCGCCCGGGCCTCAACCCGGACGACGTGCTGTGGTACCGCGTGGAGGCGGAGCGCACGGGCAACATCGGCCACCTCATGGTGGTGGAGGCGGTGCGGCCGGACGGTGCCCCGCCCCCCAAGGTGGTGTTCAACGCGACGGCGCCGGGCTTCGGCCGCCTGGACACCGGCAGCGTGGCCTGGGTGGGCGGCAGCACGGAGGACGAGGCCCACGCGGCGGCCGTGGGGCTGGGCGGTTGCTTGCACTCGCTCCAGCTGGACGGCAGGCCCATCGGGTTGTGGAACTTCAGGACCTCCACAGCGGGCTGCGGCGCTTGCAAGCAGGGGTGAGTATTCCCGGCAGAGCCTTGCGCCTCGCGCCTTGCCGCTCTGCCCACACTAACACACCGACGACTCTCTCCCGCCGCAGAGTGGAGCAGCAGCAGGACGACCAGGCCTACCACTTCCGCGGCGACGGCTACTCCGAGCTCCGCCACTCAAGCTCCAGCCCCTACAACAAGTACTTCTTCAGCGTGTCGCTCAACTTCCGGTCCTTCGACGAGGACGCGCTGCTGTTCCTGGCCGTCAAGGAGGACGACCCGCTGGGCCGCTACGTGTCCCTGTCGCTGCACCGCGGCAAGGTGCGCTTCCGTATCGGCTACGGCGGCCACGAGGACAAGCACCTGGAGATCACGACGGCGGCGCGGTACAACTCGGGCAACTGGACGAGCGTGGAGGCCAGCAGGTACGCCACTGCACGGCCGAGCGGGCAACGAATGAGCTGCCTTGTCTTGGTCTTGTCACGCGTCTCTCTGTTAGAGCGGCATTTTAACCGTGACTCCGCCCGTCTGTCCGCAGGTACTTCGACCGCAAGCTCAACCTCGAGAAGGGCCTCCTCAAGGTGGACGGCGAGGTGCGCCACGGCTCCCCGGCGACGCCCCTCAAGGCAGACAGCCTCCCCGACCTGGCCAGCGCCCTGTACTACATCGGCGGTGTGCCTCCGGGCTTCAGGACCGTGGGGCCCCCGGAAGCGCTCGTGTCCTTCCTGGGGTGCATGTCCATGGTGCAGGCGGCTCAGGAGGGCTACAACCCGCTGCGGGGGCAGTTCTACGGCGTCGAGCCCTCCTGCACTGACAAGGTAATGCACCAAGGGCTGCCAAGGGCTTTCCCGGGAGCAAGACTTAATTTCTCTAACATTCCCCCGTGTCTTGCAGCCGGTGAGGGTAGCGAGCTTTGGAGGCAACGGTTACCTGGAGCTAGCCTCGCATTCACTGAGGAAGAAATCGTCATTCGGCTTCGCGTTCAGCACTCTGCAGCCGGACACCATGCTCATGGTGTCGACGTTCCAGCGTCCGGTAAGTACCGTCCGCCAGTGGCAGCAAGGAGGCGAAGCGTGCTTGTCTTCTGTAAACGGGACGTGGTCGTCTTCTGTTCGCAGGGAGGCCCTATCAGCAGCGAGGTCGAGGAAGAGAACACCAACTTCATTGAGAGTGGGGTGAGTACGCACTATTCATCAGGCGACGGATTGACTTTTCCGTGATGCGACGTGTCCTCAAGCAGGGTGTGCATGTGGCTTTGCAGGACAACAGTTACTACTCGAGCGCCTTGTGGAACGGGCGGCTGGACGTGCGCGTGGACGCGGGTCGCGGCACCGTGGTGCTGCAATCGGCGCCGGGCGCGGGCCCTCTCAACGACGGCCTGCTGCACTCCGTGGCCGTCACCAAGACGGGCCGTCGCCTCGAGCTCCGCGTCGACGACGTCCTGCAGTCAACGGCGAGCCTCCCGGAGGGCCCCGCCGCCGTGAGGGCGCCCGGCGACCAGGGTGGCCTGTACTTCGGCGGCGTGCCGGCCACGCTCAACGTGTCGGACATGCTGGCCACCAGCATGCCGCTCATCGGCACCATCAAGGACGCCATCTTCAATGACGAGTAAGCTGCGCAAGCTGCGCCTCGGGCTGCCGCACTGTGGTACGCTGTGTCGGTCCGTTGGTGCCGCTTGTTGCTACTCTGGCACTTCCCTTGTGCAGGTTGCTGTCCATGGGCCGACCCGTGTCGTTCGACAACGCTGCCATCGGCCGCCTCGTCCCGATGGGTGCCATCGCCCTCCTCGAGCCGCCCGTCAACACTTCCCCCATCGCGCCGTCATCGTCATCCTCACCGTCGTCCCCTCCGGCCTCCACGCCGCGGGCGCAGGCGCCGCCGCTGCAGGCCGCAGACCCCGCGGGTTGCCGCCGGATGTCGAGCTACTCGTTCGAGTCGGGCGCCGTCAAGTTCGGCGACGCGCCCGACTCGCACGTCCTCTTCACGTTCCGGCGCCAGAGGAACATCCTGCAGAGAGACTTCGCCGTGGAGCTGCAGTTCAGGACGTTCTACCCGAGCGGAATGCTGTACCTCGTCCCGGGCAGCGGCGGAGGAGGGGGCGGAGGAGGCGGAAGGCAGCGTCAGTACCTGGCCGCCTATCTACTCGACGGCATCCTCCAGGTGATCTACAAAGGTCGCAACAAGCTGGAAGTGTCACTGCCCAACACATACAACGACGGCGTGTGGCACACGGTGAGTGAGAACGGTCAGGACAAAATGCACGCTCAAAACTCTTTCTTGAATTTTCATTTTGTAATGGTGTTTATTAAAGTTAATTAAGCCTAAAGAAACCATTTTTATCCTATTTATTTTGTTGCTGCAGGTGAGATTGAAGAAAGAAGGGCGGACTTTAACCCTCAGTGTGGATAATGATCCATCAGAGAGGAGGAAAGGTCCAAAGAAAATGAACATAGGAAATTCTGTATACTTTGGAGGCTTGCCAGACAATAGTCTCTTAGCTCCTGATAATTTTGTAAGTGTACTCATTTTTATTCACTATTTTTCCGTTTCTTTCTTAATGAACTTAATGAAGTATTGCAGACTTATTATCAGTGACGATGACGACTCATTTGAAATTCTTTGTTTTTGTTTGTATGATTTTTAATTTAATTTTTTTTTCTTGTTTTTCTTTGAAGGTCCAGCGATTAGAGCATTTCCGAGGTTGTATGAGAAGTCTGACAGTCAATTCGATTCCTAAGGACCTGGTGGGAGATGATGCCACCCACCACCAAGTTGGGCAATGCTTTTCTGATGTAGAATTAGGTTCCTATTTTGCGGGTGATGCTTATGCCATATATAGTAAGTTACCTTCTAGTTTGAATTTATGGCTTATTTTGTTCTTTTCTTATCCTGTTAATTATTTTTTTCCTCTTTCCCATAGAAAATAAATTTGTGGTAGCAGATCTACTCCAAGTGGAGGTTGAATTTAGAACTTCAGAACTGACCGGAGTCCTTCTGAGCATATCAGAGCAAAAAGGATACCCAGCTATGTCTCTGGAGCTAAATAATGGAAGAGTGGTTTTGGCGGGAGACATTGGAGATCGACGTGGGTTCGAAGTTAATCTTGCCTTGCCTTCCCAGTGGACTCTTTGTGACAACCGATGGCACAGGATACGGACTAGCTACAAGCGTGGAGAGCTTCAGTTGCAAGTTGACGACTTGAAACAAGTGCACCAATTAGCTGATGATGGTCATTACGTAGAAACTAGGACCAACAGTCCTATGTTCATTGGGGGTCTTCCTGAAGGTATTGTCCGTGAAGGTTTAGGGGTGAAAGACAACTTCAAAGGCTGCATCCGCAAAGTTATGATTGGCGGTGAGCGTAGAGACTGGACTGTGATGGCTGATCTTCATAACATAGGACTTGGATCATGTCCTGTGGAAAATTGATTGCGAGTTTTTGTTGGTTTTGCTAGCCAAAGAAGCTTTATGTGAATGTTCCTAAATGATACAACCGAATGGACTTGACACAGACTGAGCATTTTGTTTATTTTTCTGTGGACTTTGTCACGGGACCAAACAGTTAAGGGTGGTGTCATTTAAAAATCTGTTACTAATTGTAGAATGTATTAGTCCCTGTATATATTGGATTGTAAAAATTATAAGCTTATTTATTGTTTATATGTAATTATATTTATAATGTACATAAATCTTTGTAAGCCAGATTAGTGTACAGGTGAGAAGGAAGAGCTCGTCTCATTTCATGATAAATCTTCATATCAAGTTCATATCAATGATACTTTGTCTATTTGAACAAAATTCTCTTAAAAATCAGTGCATTCCAAACTACATGTGTATTATAAGTACAAGTTCCTTCATCATCTTTGTCTCATGGTCATTAATCTATGAAATCGTGTCATGTACTATGTGCTCATGCATATGTACCCTTAAAGTAACAATGAAATAAATCAATGTGCCAAATGTGCTTTTTGTAAGCAAGTAAAATTCTGTATTTTGTTCGGTTCCCTCTACTTCCCGCCATAGTTTGTACTCTACACTTACGCGCAACACTACCAGCCTTGCCATATTTCCAACGTCTTGATGGGTGGACATTTTATCCAATTTTACCCAGTCTCTGAATAATAAAATAGATAGTGTAAAATATAGAAACACTCAACTATTAAATCTGAAACACAAAACTGAGAAGCAAATTGCGATTGAACCTCTCTTTTAATATCCGAGACGTTGGTAGGAGCTCGCCCGATGCTCTCGGTGAGGTTAAGTTCCCCTAAGTTTCCTGTGCTTTAACTTTCAGGAAAAGGTCAAATGAATCTCTTTAAAGTTTGTAGAAACTACAGCGTGCCGTTTTTATCAAAAGAGACGAGCCCGCGTCGACGGAGATCGCAGACGAAGCACGCTGTTCGGAGGCAAGCGGCGTGTACAGAGCGGCGCGGTGTGTACAGCGCCGAGCCCGCCTCTGCGCAGCATGTCAGGATGGCCGAGCGGTCTAAGGCGCCAGACTCAAGGATATCCTTGCCCGCGCAGCGGGTGGAGTGTTCTGGTCCTCATCTGAGGGCGTGGGTTCAAATCCCACTTCTGACATACATTTTATGCAGTAGAACATGACCGGTGGCGTATGTAGATGACCTAAATGATAATTTAGGACCTCTGATCAGCATATTGTGAAATATGGCATCAGTATTCAACCCAACACAAGGAAAAGGAAACAAAGAAAGTAAGGGCACCCGGAAATGGAGAGTAAGATTTATTGGCAGCATAAAATATCTTTACAGGATAAGGCTTACTAGTTAAAATAAGAAAAAAACATTTTAAAATCCAAAAAACATAGAGAAAAACGGAAGAGACAAAACATGGGGAAATGACTAGAAAGATTTCTCACTTTATTGAAACAGCCATACAAACAAAACTTCAAGTAAAAGCTTATCTGCAATGAAAAGAAAGAAAACCAAATGTGTGGTGTGGATGCCATTGTGCCAAATTGTACAGTGTATTAAGAATAGCAACAAATCTACAAATGCAGCAAATATTGTCTAGATTTTTCCTTTAATTTATTCTGCATAGCATGCACGTCAGTAATTATTTGAAGCACTAAAAGTCACAAACCTTTTTGTGACATGTTTTACCAGCCTCATAAATGTGATTGAAATTTATTGACCCACACATGTCTGCAAAGTTTTCATCACAATATGAAGAAAGGAGACTACTAAGTTGACAGTCTTATTTCTCTGCTTATAAAAGCTCTTACAAGAAAAGCAGGGAGGGTAATGAAATTGGCAATGAAAGATGGACAGCTTTCATTGAAAGTAAAAAGAGAAGAAAAGAGTCTTCTCCTTTAAGCAGGGCCCAAACATTCAAACTAAACCAACATTTGAGTTTGAGTCCAAAATTCTTTATGGAAAAAAAATACCGGTAATATTAAAAAAAGGAAAATGAAAATGGGTTTTAAAAAAAGGAGAGAGACACTAGTAATAAATACAGAAATATAAATACGTGTAAAAATGTGCTGTCCATTTCCATAAAAGCCACTTTCATGCTTATGAAAATACTCCTAAAATGTTAAATTTAATAAACTATCATAACAGATTCTCTACGATCACAGCTTTTTATACAACATTAAACTTGTTTTTCAAATAGCAATCATAACAAGCAGGCAAGGTGAGTGAGATATTCAGCACCAGTATCAGGTTTGTATGAACATGAAAAATAGGTATCAAAAACCTGCCAATAATTTGGAAGCACTGATGTTCACTAAATGCGGCTTTGAACCTTTAAACCTTGCATACTTTAAACAACCTGTTAACTCACCTGAAACTATTGCCCTTGACACAGAAAATAAATCATATTCCTATAATCACATAGTTAACAAAGGGTCTTTTATGAGTAGAATAATAAACATCTGAATAAACTAACAAATAAAATATCTCATGTGATGTGTCAACATAATGTACATCATTCAAACCGAAATATGAATGTTTTTCTTTCAAAAGTACTCAGCTTTAAAAAATGACAGTTCAATGATTTGGGCTTTTGCATACAATCTGCTGCTATTATGCTACAAAACCAATCAACACAAAATAAATTATAACCAGAGTGCACTCTTTGACTTATAGGAGTCATTCACAGAACAATACTGCAAGTCTAAACTGGAAATGTTTAGCTAAGGACTTTCACTAACACACAAAAACGCATCACAGTTTTCATTTTGACTACTGAGCAAAAACAACTACGCAGCTCATTGGAGAGCAATTCCTTGAATCCACGAGCTCAAATCACTTGCATCTTCATCAACTTCAAGAATCAGTTCTTCAGGGGAGTCTGGTGCCAGTAATATCTGTGCAGCACTTCTACCAGTTAGGTAAGCTCCATGAACAGTTGAGTAAAAGCTGCTGTGGGTGTGCTCACCAGCAAATAAAACAACAGGCTGTAAAGTAAAAATAGCATCATCATATTAAAATAAATTAAATAAAAAAAAAAATCATTCTCCGTTAGCATGTTAATATTAATATTGTGTAAGATGTCAAGGCAAAATGATGTTACCTTTGCTTGCTGATCATTGGAATAAAGAGGCTGAGCCACGTTGTCAATGTCATCCTGAGACGCTCCCACAGCAATTGCTGTGTATGCTCCTCGTGTATAAGGCTGAGAGCCCCAAGTTGTACTAAGGGTAAAATGGGCGACTGTTAGAAACTAATGCCAACAACAATCCTTCCTTAATAATATTAATTATTTTATAAAATAACTTACCAAATACATGACTTTGGCTGTGGAACAAAGGGATCATTCAAAAACTTTCGGAGGATGATCGTACAGGTCTCTGCAACCTCTTCATGAGATAGCGTTTCCATGTATTCAGCTTCCTTTCCTGAGATCCACGCTAGTAAAAGAGTTTCTGACAGTTTGGAAAATGAGTATATTTTACGGAACCACTTGTTTTTCATATCTTTGGAATCATTGCAGCATTCTTCTGAGTCCCACAATAGCATAACTTCTGAAATTTCGGGATTCAGGAAAGGTCTATCATATTCAAGATAAATCTTATCCACTGTATCAAATAAAAGTTTGTCTATTGATTTCAGCTTGAACTGAGGAAGAGATGGGCTAAAAAGCTGAGAGGCTTGTGCTTTTAACACTCCCAATGGGACACAGCATATAACATGATCAGCATAGAATTGCTGTCCATTTTCACAGACTACTTCTACATTTGGTTGGTGGGATCTTCGTTTTTTGTTCTTTCGTCTCCTAGGAAGGCCCTCAAATTTTCTCTGATCCTGAATACCAGCCCCTCTTTCTCCTTCAGTCTTTGGTGCTTCGGATGATTCGTTGTCTTTATTGGTTCCACCTTCTGCTGTGGTATTATTAGGATCCTCTACTTTTAAATTTTCAACAACACTAATGCACTCTTTTTCACTACTTGGTTCCCTGCTCGAATTTGGAGATGTGTCAGGGGGAGTATCTCCAGTGACTGTTACGTCAGAGTCATCAGATTCATTACCACCATCTCCTAACCCATGTAAATCTATTCCAGAGTCTGTTCCAGGGCTAGTAACACAATTGCCAACCAATAACTCCTCACTGTAGCGCCAACGAATTGTTGCCACAGGATGCTTTTTCAAAACATTCTGAGGTGGTATCAATCTAGAGACAGGTTCTAATATGCTACTGTAACCAGAGGGTAAAGCTATGTTTCCTCCCTGAAACAATAAAAAATGTTTTAAAGATCTAAATTTTATAAAAATTACAAGCAAATACTTATAAAGCAATGCACAAACCTGGAGTTCTGTATAGCTACCCAGTTGCATGAGGTCAATATCAGACATGCTATGGCAGCCTGCTATGCACGTCTCCCGTTTCAAAAGGCAGCGAAAAATGAGGGACCGAAGGTGGCGTTGAGCTGGATCACTCACTCTTTCTAAAAACAATGCCATCTCCAAATCCAAGTGTTCGCCCACACTATTGATACCTTCAGGTGGCAGATACTGGCATAAGAAATACTCTTCACATCTCCGAAGGAAACAAATGTAAGCCTGGTACATTTCCTGCAATGACCAAGGGTGATTTAAGATATCTAACTAAGCTAGTAACTCTCAATGAAAAATAATGAATCAAAACAAAATGAATCAAGTTGTGGTTATTTAATGACAAACCTGCAGTACTCCGAAGGGTACTTGTTTCCCATCCTCTGTCGCTGCAACTACTCGATGAGGCTTTGGTACGTGAACAATGTCGATTAGACCATTGGCTACAGCTATTTCATACAGCGGGTTGCCAAGAACTCCATGGATCCAATTGGCACCAAGTTCTAGTTTGTGCTTTCCTAAAACACATAAAAATATCCTCTGGTTAGACTTGACGAAACTGTGAATGTCGTGACTAGTTGTCATTAGTGGTTATACTTGCAGAAGTCAACATCATTATAATTGAGGTCAATAGACGAAAATATTGAATGAATAGCGGTGGGCCGGTAGGTTAAAAGGGCTATAGTTCTGGTACCTGTCTGTGCAGAGAAAATTCGGCCTCCGATCTTGTTTGAAGCTTCCAAAACGAGGAAATCGGTCATCCCGTTTTTGGCTAGATGGTTAGCAGCTGATAATCCTGCCATCCCTGCACCAATAATTAAGATTTTAACTCTTTTTCGATCATCCGAAGGTTCAGACGACGCCATTGTTTATACGTGCTTCCCCCGCTGCCCGCTGCCCCCTCTCCCTGCCTCTCCCTTCTCCCTCCCTGTAAAATGTAAGATCATGCAGAGTGTGAGGGTTTTCGATAGAACACTACCAAACCCTTAAAAACCTACATAAATTTTAAATTATCTCTTGAGTTGAGACTTTTCCATACATTCGTGTGAAGGTGAAGAAGTCAAGGAGGATCTCTGTTGCCGATTTGCGCGACTGTCCTCGCGGTGAGATGCTGCCTATGGTGATTTGATCCTTGAACAATTTAAGGACTCAAATCCAAATTCGTGTAGCATAAATATTAAATCCTTAGCAGTGCAGGCTATTTAACAAAATTAGAGCCACAGATTCACAAATATCCGAAGTTCAAGTTCTTTGTTTTGTTCGCACAATTTCTCATACATCCATGCAAAACTCTCTTTACATTGGCATCGAGATTGCGATTGGGTTAGTCAGGCGGTGCGGTGTTTTTTGAGGGAGTGTGAGTGATCCTTCTGTCTGTGCAACACAAGACCCCGTGACAATGGTAATTTTAATCCGCGGAAAGAATATCCATCGTGCATCCATTTGTTTTAAAAATTGTAAATTTGATAATTTACGACTTTTTGGTACCGTATTGTACCCTTAGTTTCATATATTTCGTTCTATTATATCGGTTCGAAATATCAGGTGTTCATGTCCGGCGTTTTTCAATAGTTTGTCTAATGTTTTGCATATTACATAACGTCACTTGCAATTACTTTTAATCTCCTCCTTGTCAGTGGCTCCCATTGTCTGGAATGAGCGGCTTCAATGTTGCCTCCACTATCATCGTATCCACCTCTTTCTAATTTCTAACCTGTACTCAAAATTTTCATTGTCTTTACTTTGTCTAGTAAATTTTCTTATTCTTCTACTCAGCGATTTAGACTCGAAGCATAGTGCCCCCATATCGATTTTTAACCATCTCTGTTTATATTTTTGTTTCAGCAACCTCAAATCATTTTGTTGAAAGAGGGGACGGACAGCTCTCAGGGCACCTCGCAACTCCTTTCAAACATCACAGCATGTCAGGCAGTGGTGGACGCTGTCAGGACTACCCTGGGTCCCCGTGGAATGGACAAGCTAATTGTCGACCAAGGTGGCAAGGCTACAGTTTCAAATGACGGCGCAACAATCATGAAACTCCTGGAAATTGTTCACCCCGCTGCCAAAACACTGGTTGACATCGCAAAATCTCAGGATGCTGAGGTGAGAAATTTGTTTCTCTTTTTGATTTGATCTCCTGCCAGTATGTTCTTTGAAGATTTAAAGTTCCATACCTGACAATTTAGGAGAGAAAATAAATTTATTGAAGTTAGACTGATGATGCTTGACAGTTCGGAGCATCATTTCATGTTTCACTGTACATTCTTCAAACTGTGTTCTATGTCAATAATGTTTAAACTCCCTATTTAATTTTACTAAATTAATTTTGTGTGTTGTCAGGTTGGTGATGGTACCACCAGTGTTGTTTTGCTGGCTGGAGAATTTTTGAAGCAAATCAAGCCTTTTGTGGAAGAGGGAGTTCATCCCAGAATCATCATTCGTGCCTTCCGCAAGGCTACACAGCTTGCTGTAGAAAAAATAAACAGCCTGTCTGTTAAAATTGAGAAGTCTAATGCTGCGGAGCACCGGGCCCTTCTTGAGAAGTGTGCTGCCACTGCTCTTAGCTCCAAGCTTATTCATCAACAGAAGGCTTTCTTTTCCAAAATGGTTGTGGATGCTGTTCTGATGCTAGATGAGCTGTTGCCCCTGAATATGATTGGTGTGAAGAAAATCCAGGGTGGAGCTCTTGAGGTAAGTTTATCTACTTAATGTTTTGGACCAGAGATTTATATTACTATTGTTTTATAATAATTGTAACTTTTTTTTTCTTCTTTATTTGGTCATTTTTAGGATTCTCAGCTAATTAGCGGTGTAGCGTTTAAGAAAACCTTCTCATATGCTGGATTTGAAATGCAACCTAAAAATTATGATAACCCCAAAATTGCCCTCTTAAATGTTGAATTGGAATTGAAAGCAGAACGTGATAATGCTGAGGTCAGAGTGGCATCTGTGAGTGAATACCAGAAGGTTGTTGACGCAGAATGGCAAATCCTCTACGAGAAGCTTGACAAGATTGTAAAGAGTGGTGCCCAGGTTGTTTTATCAAAGCTCCCAATTGGAGATGTTGCCACCCAGTATTTTGCTGATAGGCAAGTCATCTTTTTAATTTGATGTAACTTAATTTTAAACTTTATTCTGATTTTCCAATTATTATATCTGATCCTTGTCTCTCTATAGGGATATGTTCTGTGCTGGTCGTGTTCCTGAAGATGATCTGAAGAGGACAATGAAGGCGTGCGGTGGTTCAGTTATGTCCACAGCTCACGACCTGGAGGACTCAGTTCTTGGCCAGTGTGAGAAGTTTGAGGAGATCCAAGTGGGTGGTGAGAGGTGAGCCCTAATTCAATCATTAATTGTCATTAATTGTTTTAGATTATTTAGCAATGACAATTTTTTATTTGCTTCAGGTTTAATATTTTCAAAGGATGCAAAAATGCTAGGACCTGCACACTGTTACTTCGTGGTGGAGCTGAACAGTTCCTTGAGGAAACTGACAGGTCTCTCCATGATGCCATCATGATTGTTAGAAGGACAATTAAAAATGATGCTGTTGTCGCTGGTAAGGATCATATGACTTGCTCAGATCTAGTGGCAGTTGTCTCCTTGGAAATCTAATGTTCATTTGTTTTTTAATAGGTGGCGGAGCTATTGAAATGGAGTTGAGCCGTCATCTTCGAGACTATTCACGAACAATTGCTGGCAAAGAGCAGCTTCTCATTGGTGCCATTGCCAAAGCTTTGGAAGTCATCCCTCGCCAGCTTTGTGACAATGCCGGTTTCGATGCCACCAATATTCTGAACAAGTTGAGGCAGAAACACGCCCAAGGTGTTTGTCATTTTCTTTCAGTCTATTATGGATTTGCGATTGTTAATGACGTGTGAATGAATGGTTTGATGTGAACTGTAACTGATATAAAATGTTTTTGCTGTTAACAGGTCAATCTTGGTTTGGTGTTGACATCATGAAGGAAGATATTTCAGACAACTTCGAAAGCTGTGTGTGGGAGCCCGCTATTATCAAGATCAATGCCCTGACTGCAGCAAGTGAAGCAGCCTGCTTAATCCTGTCTGTAGATGAAACCATCAAGAGCCCGAAGTCCGGTGGCCACGATGCCCCGCAGATGGGGGGAATGCCCGGGGGCATGGGCAGGGGCATGGGCCGACCTATGTAGGATCATTATCATAAATCTTGGCTCTAATTTATTTTTGCACAGTCCTCATTACCTTGTGCCTTGGTGCATACCTGCATCTGAATCATTTTGTGATGTTTCAGTACAATGAATTAGGCAAGTGACTTGGTTAAATTTGTATCCCAGTGCCTGTTGATGTTGTATGCAGTCATGTCTACATCTGTCACGTTTCATTTCATTGCTTTTATTGATCTACTGTTAATTATTATATTTACCATTAACTACTAACTGCACACACTGCTTTACTGTAATGCCAACTTCTATTGTGAATGCATTTCATAGTATTTTGTATCAAGGAGAATTATTAAATTTCTACTGACTTTATTTGGCAAATGGTTTTTTATTGACACTTAAGTCCTATCTAATACTAATTACGTTCTACAAAGGGAAATGTCACTGGAATAATAAATTAAAATCTCATGCTTATGGGCATATCTTGGAGAGATCAAATGCACCATTTTATAAAGCAGATGTTCAATTTCTGCTTTGTTCTTTGTCAAGGCAAGCAAAGGCTTCAATGGAAATTTGTCATCTTTCCTCTGGCCACACGTGCCTTTCTATCCAGGGAATGTACTTGGATACTCTCGTGTATACACCGGGAGAGTTGCGAGCTGCACACACCTTCCCAAAGGAAGTTATGCCTACAATGTGAAACACACATTGATTATTGTGGCTTGTGACTTGCAGCGGTCCTCCAGAGTCACCCTGGAAAAAATATTGCAACATGCATCACCATATTGGATTCAGGTTGATGAGTGAAGTGTGAACGCAGCCGGAATGGGGATTCATACCTGGCACGTGTCCCTGCCTCCCTCCAGGACGCCAGCACAGATCTGGGAGTCCGCGACGATTCCCTTGGACAGACTGGAGGTGGTCGAGTCCGCGGAGTACAGAGAGCTGCATGTGCGTTGGTCCACGAAGTTCAAGATGACTTTCTGCAGCACCTGGCTCCTCTCACCAACTGCAAACCAATTCACATCAACGCTACGAAACACAAAAGGAAAACGCGACACTGTAAGTAGCAAGTGGGACGCGGGGCGCCACTCACGCTGCTCCGTGTGGCCCCAGCCCGTGGCGACGAGCGGCTCGCTGGCGAAGGTGTCCTCGTCCTCGGTGTAGAGGCAGGCGGGCCGCACGGTGGCGCCGAAAGGCACTTTCCGGGCGAGGCGGAGGAGGCCGATGTCGTGGTAGCGCGCCGGCGGCTGGTAGCCAGGGTGCCGCACCATGCTGGACACGGCCACGTCCACGGGCCGCGCGCCGTCCTCATTGGACTCCAGGTTGTGCTCGGCCAGGCGCACGCGGATCGGGGGGCCCCTGCAAGAGGGCAGCCTGTGAGACGGCGTCCAAACCCAGACCCCACGGCCTCGGCGCCAAGATCCGCGACGTGGTATGTATACTTACTGCGCCGTGGCCGTGCAGTGCGCCGCTGTCAGCACGAACAGTTCGCTGATGAGGGAGCCCCCACAGTTCCACTCGATGCGAGAGCTGGGTGCAGGCCCGCGGTACCCGATCGCCACCTGCAAGCAAAGCAAAGGCGACGACCCGGGTTCAAAAACCACCAGCAATCGACAATTTTCGGCGTGTTTGTTTGTTTTCAGCCGCTATTGGGGGTGTCACTCGTCGCATGTCTCGCGTCTCATTACCGCTGTCGCCCGCTGCCTGATAGGGCAGCAGGCTGAGTCCGAAACGGGGCTGCGTCTGTCCCCCTCGCACCCGTGAGGCGAGGCGTCCCCAAGGAGAGCGAGAGGCAGCCCACAGCACGCCTCGCGAACTAGACGACCCGGATGCGGGGCGCGTCCGAAACGCGTTTTGTTTCTTGGCCGTGTCGCATGCTGCGCGAGGTGCTGTCTGGGGTGCTGCGGAGATGCAGCGGTCAGAGCAGCTCGCCCGGGCTAGACCAGTTCCGCGGTTGCGGTTATGCAATGCCAGCGATACACCTACGCGCCGCTTTGGCCGGCCATGACATTGACGTGACGACGGCAGAGATGCGACTTGACGGCGCGGTATGGTGGAACCGTTAGCGAGCACGAGCGCTGCCGCCCGCGCGGTAGGCAACACGCCAAGGGGGGCGCACCGCTGTGGGGCGCGTTGCCTACGCTCGCAGGGGCTCAGCCCTTTAGCTTTTGCACCGTGGGTGGCGCTGCAGCTCACCATGTGCGGGAACTCGTTGAGGCGCGCGTCGCTGCCGCCGACCACCAGCGGCACGGAGTTGGTGTCGCACTTCTGGACGTGCTGCACCGAGGGCTTGGGGTCCGGCACCAGCGGCAGCGCCACGACACGCTCGGTCTGCAGGCGAGCGAACTCGGCGCACTCTGGGGACAAACAAGTGATTGGATAAGGAGATGGCCCGAGCAGTGGATTGCGCTAGCCGCTAGCGCGTGAAAGGTGACTCTGACTTACTTCTCTCGCTGACGCGGGGCGTCCTGGAGACAGTGCGCTTGGGCTGTGGCGTCCCCCACTGCGCCGTCGTGGACCTTCCGTCGAACTGGTTGGCCCCCCAGCCCGTCCTGCTGGGGACGCTGGGCGTGGCGTCCGAGGGCCGCATCTTGGACGTCGCCTCGTCATCGGCCTCCACGTGCAAGTGCAGCCTGCTGTTGGTGGCCATGCCGTCGCCGAGGGAGTCCGGCACTCGCTTGTCCCCGAGGTTGTCGTGCTGCCAGTGCGGCCACCCGGGCCGCCTCAAGGGGCGGCGCGTCGAGTCCGCAGCGGCGTCCTGGCCTCGCCTCGTCGTCGTCGTGAACAACCCGTGCGGCCGGAAGTCGCCGGGCCGCTTGGCGGCGTCCTCAGAGGGCCGGTTGTACGCCGTGGGCGGGCGGTGTGCGCTGCTGGGCGGCGACGGCGACTCCGGGAACCAGACGTCCGCGTCGGCGGCGTCCTGCCGGGGCCCGCCGGAGCGCTGCGCTATCTGGCTGGACACAGGGGCGGGGGGCACGGTGGGGGCTGGCGGCTGAGGGGCGTTGACGGGCGGCAGCAATGGGATGGCCACGGCGGGCTCGCTGGCCTCGCTGGCCTCGCTGGAGTGGCTGGAGCTCGCGGGCGGCCACACCAGTGCCGGCGCTGTGCCGGGCCGCAGCGTCAGCGCCAGGGCCACTGGGGAGTCCGACGTGGTCTGCAGCGAGGACGAGGTGGAGGACGCTGCCATCGCGCCCTTGGTCTGCGGCTTGCCGCCGATGCTGCGCCTGCTGACGCGCTCCCTGTCGTCGCCGCGGGTGCAGCACACCAGCCGCTCCGGGCAGTGCGCGCCGCCAGGGCCGCCAGGGCCGCCAGGGCCATCGGCGTCAGGGAGGTGCCGCTGGTCCTCCGGGCAGCGCGACGAGGCCACGCACTCCCCTTGGCATCCGGCTGGAAGCAGAAAGCAGGCGGACAGCGTTATTGTCGTTATTGCCCCAACATTTCCAGTCAAGTGCTATCCGACCCCTGTTGATTCATACAGGCCGCGGCGACGGGACGGCTCGCGGAGTCTTCCGAAGCAGCCCGTCGTACCGGAGAATCTCCAAGTATCTCCAGCCCGGAGGCGGCCGGATGCCGCTCATACCGCGTGGCGCGCTTCCAAAGTGCTGCCCACTACACTTCAGCTCGGCAGGAAAAAAGATGGTCGGACCCCTTTCATTATGGGCACACATCGCCTCGGGATCGCTGCGCACGCCGCGCCGGGGACGCGCTCCTGCCTGTTTACGTTTTTATTCCGAGGGGGTAGCAACTCGCGTAATAGTCGGGTCACCTGCTCTGTAATAACAACGTAATAGCCGTAATGACGGCGTAATAACCGAAATAGTCGCGTAATATCGGTAATAATAACGTAATACACGTAATATTATCGTAATAGCCGCGTAATAACCGCGTAATAGGTCAGAAATGCCCCTGTCAGGGAGTATTGACAGCTCCTGATGGCGTTGGCTATACTCCACGCACGGTTGTCGGCATTCCCCCAGAGTCGGGTGGAGGGGGTACACTGTGCGAAAAATGTAGGGTATTCTCTGTTAATTTATTAACAGGATTTGCCGTACTAAGAAGCACGGCGTTTACTGTACCTAGAGGTACAGCGTTTACTGTACCTGAAAGGACGGCATCACCTTAATTTGTACAGTACACTTGTCAAGAGGCAGTCATTTCATGACATCAAAGTTTAGACGATTTTGAAAATTTACTAAAACTTTTTGGAAATGGATTTAGCCCGAGATCTTTTCAACTTGACGTTACAAGTGCCGCCTTGAAATCCAATCTTGTAATATTTCTCAGCGGTTTGAGTGAATTTTCCAATGGTCCAAATCAAGATCTTCTTACAGAAATGGATTTGTGTCGACAAGACAGAAAAATGTCAACGTATGTCATAGGTTTGGATGGAACATAAAAAGGCTATTCACCTACAAACTTGCAAAGATGGTCAAGAAATGACCTTCTTGGTACTTTTGAAGCTCAATAACGTTGTCATTCCCGTCCAAACCTATGAGATGTGTTGACATTTTTTGTTTGTCTTGACGAGACGAATCCATTTCTGAAAGAAGATCTTGATTTGGACCACTTTGAAAATTCACTTGATTTGGACCTAGTTCTAGTAAATAACTTCGAACAACCTTCAAAAATAACCAAAAAAGAAAAGAAAAACTGTGCACTGCAAATGTACAGCGGGATTTTTCATAACACGAGTATGTTGCAGGAAGCGGAAGCAACGTGAAAGATTTAGCGCTGTTTTTCAAAGCGTAATAACCGCGTAGCACAATAGTCCGTAATAGAACGTAATAGCCGCGTAATATACGTAATATCCCATCTATTACGCGTAATAGTCTCAAAACGTAATAGTCGGGCCGCGATTTTTGGGAGTTGCTACCCCCTCGATTTATTCTTCAGATACTGGGCGGCCTGCGCGCTGCAATGATTACCCCTCCCCCTCGCCGTGGGATGTCATACACCTGCTGCTGGGCCCCACCGTAAAAAAGGAAAGGCAAGGAAAGGCTCAAGGAAAGCAAAACAACGCAAACAGGAATCAGGAGTCAGCGGGGCCTTCTTCGGGGAATCCCCAGCCGAGCCGGTCGGCCGGCCTCCTCGCGCCCCGCCCTCATAATCCCGCACCGCGTCCGCGAGGCACTTACAGTGTACGCGTCGGCCGTGCCCGCGTCGCTTTCGCGCCAAGACGCCCTGCGAAATCCAACTCCGAATCAGAAATAGTTCGAACAAAGCCTGGTTTCGATAAGCCGCCCCGGGAATCCCAAAGGAATTGGAAAGGAATCTTTCCACCAGCGCGGAGTGCGTGTGCTTGCGTGCCGCCCGGGCGTTGTCGCTTCCGGCCGCGAGCAGCCGCGAGATCCGCGCGGTAATAAGCTGTGGCGGGAAATGTATTTGGGGGGCCGCCCCGCCCCGCCCCGCCGCCGGCTACAATCACCGTGCACACTCCATTGTGGAAACATCGGGTCGCTCCGGGTCGCGGCGCCCTCGCTAAACCGGCCGCCGGCCTGGTCCCAGCCGCTCGCCCGGAACGCCCGGTACGCCCGGAACGCCCGACCCATAGCCCCAGGCAAAGCGCCTTTTCCGCGGAGCGCGCCTCGCGACAAAGAACTCGGGGCACTTTGAGATTATTCGGCGAAGGGGTTCGCCACCCCTAAGACGGCGGGCCCGGCCCGGCCGGGCGAGGCGGGCGGGGCGGCAGCTCCAGCACAACCTTGGGGGTCATTCCTCCCACCACGCTCGCCTCGCCTCGCCTCGGCCGCCGCGCCGCGCCTCGTCGTGGTCGTGCCGAACACACGCACAATCTTGCAGTATCGCCCTTCCAGGAAATGTGAGAGGAATACACACTGCCATTCCCCGCCCTGGCGGCCTGACGGCCTGGCGACCGCCATCTTGCGCGCGTCGCCACCAATCTTGGCCGCGATCGGGCATTGTTTATGCATTGGCGACTCGCTCTATCTATCATGTGGCAGCGAATGGAAATCAAGTCGATTACTCGTTCTTGATTGAAAATCGAAGTCCGCTGCACCCAATAGGCACGCTACGGAGTGAGGGAATTCCCGCCCCATAACCGCATCTCCCCACCAACCTGTCCGCGCTGCAAGTACGCCACTACCCAACACTAGCAACAACCACATCAACAACAGCAAAGAGCGTCCGCGCTGCGAGCGCTGCTTCGCCACTGGATACGCACCTCTGTCGCGCTGCTGCGGCTGCTGCTGGGAGTCCGGCAGGCCGGCCAGTAGCAGGGCAGCGACCAGCAGGGCTGCAAGCGGTGGCGTAGCCACGCGAGCCACGCCGGCGCCGGCCTCGAGCGGCATGGCGGAGGCAGGCCAGTGCACTACCAGTGGCGGGGCCTTGGCTGCCTTGCCGGGCCGCGTCGCGTTCTCATCCTGGGCGACAGCGGTCAAGCCACCCTGGATCGCGGCGCAGTTGTGGTGGGCGACGGCGCAGAGGCTCCGAGCGAAGGCGACGACGACGGCCGAAGCGGCAGCACTGCAGCACCAGTGCGCCCGAGCGGGGCGGCGACGAGGACGAGCGGGACGAACCCTCGGACCCTCGGCGACACGCGACGGCGGCGGCGTCACGGTGCCACGGCGTCACGCCGGTCACGAAACCACGACAACTACGCCACTGACGCGGTCCGCCACTGCCGAGCACGGCCTGGCCAGACCAGCCTCACCAACGCACCGGCACCTTCTGGCTCTGGCTTCTGGTGGAACAACGGCACAGAACACAACAACTTGCCTCCACGCGCCGCCTCCCCCCTCTCCTCCCTCTCCTCATCTGCATCGCCCATCGCCCTGGTCCCTATTCCTCGCGCTGGACCACTGGACCGGAGCCTGTTCACTTTTGCCCTGCCACTGAGACTCCGTTTCTGAAACCAGTAGTCATCCTGGTAGTCGATCGGCGGGGCGCGGCGCCAGCCAGAGCACTGGCCAGTCGCCGACGGGGCTCGGGTTTGGAATTCCCCGGAAAGAGCACAATCTCGCCGACACGCGCGGAAGACCCGTTCGAGAGGACGTGAAAAAATGGCGAGGTGGTTCACGAGATACGGCTTGTCGGTTTCTACGGAAACTGAAAATAAATCGGTGAGGAGACAATCAGAGCAAAGACTGGAAAGGCACTCACCAGAGCGCGCGCCCGGGCGCCCGGGAGGTAGGCAGCCCAACGAACAGCCGTGCGCTGGTGTGGCTAGCGGCAGGCGGACGGACGCTCCCGTCCCGGCCCGCCCGGCGAAGCGAAGCAGCAGCTGCACTGGCAATTGGGAGGTCGTCTAGCAAGCGAATCAACCTGTCGCGCACACTGCAATCTGGCGTGGGAAAAAAAGGGCCGTGGAGACGTCGTGTCGCAGACCTGCAATTACCGGGGGCCGAGCCGATCCGTACCGGGGCGACGTCGATGTCGTCGTCCATGCACAGCCTGCTGCCAAGGCCGACCCCAAGCGCGCCGCACTCCCCAACGGAGCGCGCCAGCCACCAGACGGGCGGCACCGAGCCACTGGCGGCCGGAACGCAAACTTTTCAGTCTTTAGCAGGAACTGTAACACTCTTCTGTTCCGCCACAGGTCGCCATGGTCCGGCTGTGGGGCATGGCGCTCCTGGTGCTGGCGGCCGCGCGAGGGACAGACTCCTCCGCGCCGCCCCTCGAGTTCCTGGCCGACTTCCTCGCGCTGCAGGCCAGCACCATCGCCCCGTCGCACGTCAGCGGGGTGGTCTGCCGGTGGGGTGGGTACCGACTGCAGGCGTTCTGACCGCGTGGTTCCGGTTTGCTTCGGATGCGACGGTGGACTCTTGTCTTTGCTGTCTTCCAGGCCGGCGTGACGTGCTGAAGGCGCTGTCGTCGCGCGGGGTGGCGGCGCACGTCGTGGTGGGGGCTGCTGTCGCCACCAACTCCTCAACCGTAACCTCGCCGTCGGCGTCCACGTCCGCGGTGGCGGCGGTCCCGGCCGCGCCGCGCAACGCCCTGTTCCTGCCGCGAGCCCCGCCCCCGCCGCTGCTCCACGCCCTGCAGCCAGCGTCCCTGCGGACCTTGCTGCTGGGGCTGGCGTCCAGGGGCAAGCCCGGCGTGCCCGTGGAGCCCGCCCTCGCCGAGGAGGTGTTCATCGACATGAGCTGCCCGGACGCCCCTCTCGTGCTCAGCTTGGTACGTCCCCAGTACCCGGCAGAACGACTCCGAGGCTGGGGCTGGGTGTATAGCGTTTTGCTGACCGCAGGCCAGCGACTTGAACCTGTTCCGACGGCCCTTCCGCTGGGTGCTGGTGCAGCCCGCGTGCGCCGAGGACACCGTCGCGGCGGCCACCCCGCGGACAGCCCTCGTGGACAGCCAGGTGCGGCAGCCTGCTTTTTCATTGAACCCTTTGAGTGTACCTCCGCTCCGACGCGTGGGCTGGAGCGACGGCAGCGCCGCTCCAGGCCAGGCGGCTGCCAGACCAACTCAACGAGTACCGAGTACAGTGTAGTACGCGAACTCGCCACGAGATGGCGCTCGCGTCTCCTCAGACGGCTCTTTAGGCAGATGAAATTTTCGCTTTTTCTCAGAATGCACTCGGCCTAAAAACATTGTTCTCGACTTCTCTACCTTGTATAACTACGTCGCGCGGACATCGGCTGGCAGGTGACGGTCGCGTGCCCTGTGGCGGACGGCGGCGTGGACGTGTTCGAGGCGCACCGGCCGGTGCTGGGCGCGGCCCCCGTGCCGGAACACGTGGCCTCCTGGGCGCGCCGCCGCCCCAACAAGGTGGCCCTGCTGCGCCCGCGCCGCGGCGACATCCAGAGGGACATGGGCGGCCACGTCGTGCCCACCGGCATCGCGGTGAGGCTCCGCACCGTCGATGAACAAACTTCTCGATGCGTTGGGGGGGGGGGGGCATTCTTGACTCTTGCTCCCTCTGCCGCCACAGCTGCTGGACTCCAACAACTCGATCCACCACCTGACGGACGGCCGCGAGAAGGAGCTGGACCAGCTGACCAAGACCACGTTCCCCATCCTGCTGCAGGCCTACGAGCTGATGAACGCCACGTGAGTGCCCCGGCCCAGTGCCCGGCAGCAGACAAAACGAGAGGTCGGCAGGCTGACTAGCCAGCCGGCCTAACCATTTGCTTCGCGCGCCGACAGGCTGTCGCTGCACGTGACCAACTCCCACGGCTACGTGCGCAACGGCAAGTTCGACGGGCTGCTGGGCGACCTGCTCAACGGCCTGGTGGAGGTCGGCGGCACCGCCACCCTGCCCGTGGCCTTCAGGATGTTGGCGATGCGCTACACCGGCTTCCACATCCCCATGCGGTGCGTCGTACATCGAGCGCCGCCGCGGGGTGTCGTTTCGGATCGGGCCTAGCCTAACGTACCCTAACCTAACCTAACCTAACCTAACCTAACCTAACCCAATCTAACCTCGGCCGCAGGGCGGTGACGGTGTTCCGCCAGCCGCCGCTGGCCTACACTGACAACGTGTTCTGGCTGCCGTTCCCGGACTCGCTGTGGTACGCGTCGCTCATCATGGTGGCGGTGTGCTGCGTGATGGCCGTGCTGGCGCTGCGCCTGGAGGAGCCCTTCGAGAGCAAGGACGAGGACGCGGGGCTGGCGGGGCAGCGCCGCCTGGGCGCCGGCAAGGGCTCTCGCAAGGAGGCCATGCGCTCCTCCTTCTCGGACGTGTTCATGCTCGCGTTTGGCGCCATCGCGCAGCAGGGTGCGTGCAGTGCTGCGCTTGAACCCCGAGGCCGGGGCTGGGGGTTCGCAACAGACTCAACCCCGAGTTTCCAGGGTCCCCCGTGGAGGCCCGCGGCCTGGTGGGGCGGCTGGTGACGTTCGTCCTGTTCCTGGCCGTGCTGCTGCTCTTCACGTGCTACTCCGCGTCCATCGTGGTGCTGCTGCAGAGCGCCTCCTCCTCCATCCGCACCCTCAGGGACCTCTGGAAGTCGCGCCTCTCCGTAGGCGCCGAAAACATGCCTTACAACGTGTACTTCCTTGAGGTACGGACGGGCACGGCTCGTGAAAACAAGTCGTTCTCCAGCCAAAATTTTGTCCGTTTGTTTTACTGTATGCGCGTTTCCAATGCACATCGACTTGGGTGTCAACAAATGGTGCCCCGGATTGGAACGCGCGTCACTGCGGTTGCTTCTCGCAGCAAATGGCCAACGGCACGGACGAGGTGCGGCGCGGCCTCTTCTACGATAAGATCGCCCGCAAGGGCAAGCGGCGCCTCTTCCTGAGCATGACGGAGGGCGTGCGCCGTCTGCAGGACGGGCTGTTCGCCTTCGTGGCCATGGACTCGCCCCTCTACGGCCACATCCAGGCAAGCGCCCTCTGCAGCCCCAGCCGCTTGCAGTGCCTCGGCTCCAACAAGGGCCCTGTGTGTAAGGGAGACACACAAGGTCATAAAGACGCCGATTTTGGATTCTGCCCGCCCCCAGGCCACCTTCGAGGAGCACGAGAAGTGCGACCTGGCGGAGATCGACGGCTACTCGTCGCTGCGCCACCCCAACCTGGTGACGCGCCGCGACTCGCCCATCACGCACTTGTTCAAGATCAAGTGAGTCTTCTAGGCCCTGGCCGTAGCGGAGCGCGTAGCGGAGCGCGTAGCGGAGCGCCTGTCGTGCTCCGGGTGGGCGACGCCGCCACGCTGCGGTGCGCGCGGGTTGCCTATCGCGGCGCGCGCGGGCGCTTTGCATAGCCAGCTAGCCAGCCTGTGGCCAGCCTGCCCTCTGCTGCAGGCTGCTGCTGCAGTGGGAGCGCGGCCTGCGCGCGCGCTTCATCCTGCGCAGCCTGTACAGCAAGCCGCGCTGCGACGCGCAGGGCGCCCGCTTCACCTCCATGAGCTTCGTGGGCGCCAGGAGCTCGTACTACCTCATGGTGGGCGGCACGGCGCTGGCCGTGCTCGTGCTGCTGGCCGAGCTGGCACACGTGCGCCTCTCCAGGAACCAAGTGGACGCGACGGCGGTCGACGTGGACGCCGGCGCCGCGGGCGACGGCGAGGTGGAGCGACCGGCTTGACGGCGACGTGTTGCCGTGCACGTCGTCAGTGTGGTGACGTCGAGGAGTCAGGAATAAAGCCGGGATCACCGTCAGCGAGGCGCAGGCCACTGGATCACTTCTCCAATCGCGCGCGCGCTGGCCGGTTCGATCACGTCACGGTGATCGAACTGCGTCACGGCGAACGCACGCCGCGCTCCGTGCGCCTCGCGGTACCTACTTGCTCCAGCGCGCGCCCAGACCGTGACCTTGGACAGGTTGCCGAGCCGGACCCTGGACCATTCCGGACCGGCCATCGGGCTAGGGGCGGCGCGCGGCGCGTCACCAGAGCATATCCGGCGGCACGGCGGGTGACAGGCGGCGGCAGGCCGTCTTCTGGAAACGTCGAACCCAGGACGAGGGTGGGGGTGCGGTGCCTGTGTTTTTCCTACCAGATCGCTGGGCGTAACAGTGTACCTACCTTGGCTACCCATGCGACATACAGGCATGTCTCGTCGGGCCAACCGTTTAATCGGTGCTTGTTGGTTCAGGCGTTTGTCTTTTACGGGCCAGGCACTCTGGCGACTCTGGCACGGGCCGAAGTTCACTCCGTGGGCACGGCGAGGCGGGCGCGGCGGGCAAGGGGGCCGCGGTCCACTCCGGGCGAGCCCCACGCGTGGCCTACTGTATGGCTCTCCATCAACCCGTGAGTCTAGGGTGACTCATGACGTAAACGGCGAGATGTGTGCTGTGCTGGCTGTGCTGGCCACAGGCCGAGATCATAAAATTAAATACGGAGCAAGCCAACACAGGACTGTACCTAGCAAAAGGCCGATGTATCTCTCTGGAAAATAATTAAGCGTCTGTTAAAAACAATTCGTATTGAACTGAACTATAGTGGCTTCATGTAAAATTTATTTCTTCCAGTCTGGTCAAGTCAAGGAAACGGTTGGACTGACGACTTGACAAAATCCAGTTCGATCGTCACGTTTCGAACGTGTCAGAGAGCGGATCAGAAACTGGATTCCACGGATCATCCGGTTGGACGCACCGAATCGACGCTTTTCTGTGGTGCTAAACACTAGACACGAGACCGGCGGCGGGCGGGCAGTGCCTGGGAGGCACGCAGCATCCGAATAGCTCCGCGCTCCGCCTCGTGGCGACCGAGCAGAGCGTTGTCCGGACGCAGCCTCGCGCCGCGTGCCCATGCTCGCGCAGCACTCGATGAATGGCGTCGCGGAGCAGAGGGCCACAAACAGCGGCACGCATCAAAATCCGTTGATGAATTATCACGCTTCCAAAATTGTCGCGGGAATTTTCCGTCCGATTCCGATGATTCTTGGCACCGCCGCGGGGGAACATTCTGGATGAACGCTTCAGAATGCGGAAACTCCGGGAAACTCGGCACCGCGCACCTCACCTCGGCCTGCTCGTCTTGATCTTGATCGTGTTGCTCATGCTGCCGCCCGGCGACGCGGCCGGCCGGCACGCCACTGCTCGTTACGCCTATCGGCCCGCCGCTCGGATTCGCCTTCGCCGCCCGTTTTCGGGGAATGCGCGCCAGATAACGACGGGGTCAATTACTCGGGGGCGGCCGTAAGCGCGCACCGCGAGGCCTGACCGGCCTGCCCGGCCTGCCCCCAAACAGCGACCGCAGCCTCCCTGGGCCGAGGACCACGTCGAGGACCACGCCGCTCACGCAGGTCCCCACTCCGGCCGCCGCGCATCCACCAAACCACGGATCGAGCTGATTTGCCCAGAGCTCACTTGTAAGGAATGAAGCATGGCCTTGGGCTTGGGTCGGGAGGGCAGCACGTAACGTAGTACGCGAATTGACCGGCCGCCGCACGTCGCCCGCCGTGTTGTCACTCCCGTGTCGCAGAGCGTCCCTTTTCGTTTTGTTCCATTTCACACGCTCTGCAAACGGAAGTGTGCGCATAGTACACTCTTATTAGAGCATGCTTCCAGGCACACTCTTATTTACAGCATACTTGCTAGGCACACGCCATAATAGAGTGTACCTGGCAAGTACACTCTTATTTAGCGTGTACATGCCAGGCACACTGCTCTATATAAGCGTGTGCTTGGCAAGTATGCTGTAAATAAGAGTGTGCTTGGAAGCATGCTCTAATAAGAGTGTACAATGTACACACGTCAGTTTGCAGAGCGCTCCTTAGAAACCGCGCGTCGCTTATGGCACTTCTTAGTGTCATCGATGCACTTTTTTTTCGGGAGGTCTTTACAGGCGCGCGCGGCGAATGGGACAAAGGCTGTGGCGCCGGGGTACCTAGTAGAGGAAGGAAGGGGCAGGGGAGAGAAAGAGGGAGGGGGAGAGATGAATTACGCAAAAGGAGGATGAGTATTTGCGCGGAGGAAGTGGGGAGGGAGCACTCTGAGTTTCGGCTCGGCCACAGACGCGAGCTTAGCTGCTGACTTCCAGACCCAAGTGGTTCACAGTCGCTCCGCGGTCCCCACCGGCTACGCACTTCCTAATCACCTGGACCAGCCCGCGGACCAGCCGCCCCTCCCCGTCGACGCGCCGCGCAGGTGAGTAGACTCCAGTGGCCTCTAGTAGCCTCCAGCCACCGAACGCTAGCGTACGCCAGAACGCCGGCCGGCGAGCGGCGAGCGGCTCAGTGCATGCAGTGCAGCTGACAGGGCTGCAGTCGGGACTGCCACTGCCAGCGTGGCCCGCAAGCTGCAGTGCCCATTTGCTGATTTCGTTTTCGTGCAGAAATCTGTGGCTTGTCACTCCACCATGACGACCGCTCGCAACGTGCTGTGCCTCCTGGCCACAATGTGGGTCATCGCGCTGGCCCTCGCCGAGCACAAGCTGCGTGAGTACCGCCAACACGTTTGGGTGCAACGTCTGGAGTACCTGTATTGAACGGTTTTTGTTGTCACTGCATGCAGCGGCCGGATGGGAGACGTGCAAGGCCTCCGGCGCCAACCTCAACAAGTGCCTCCAGTCCGCCATCACGAAGGCCGTCAAGGACTTGGGGAAGGGTGAGTCTGGCTGCCGCCGCAACCGCGCGTTCTTCCCCACGACCAACCACCCCGTGACCAACCACCCGTGACCAACCACCCCGTGACCAACCACCCCGTGACCAACCACCCCGTGACCAACCACCCGTGACCAACCACCCCGTGACCAACCACCCCGTGACCAACCACCCCATGACCGATGGTTGCTGATTCCGCAGGCAACACGGACCTCGGCATCGCCCCGCTGGACCCCCTGAAGGTGGGCTCGATCCACCTCAACAGGGGCGGGAACGGCCCCCTCAACATCGACATGACGTTCTCGGACGCGGAGGTGAGCGGAGCAAACCTGGCCAAGCTGGAGACCGTCCGGTGAGTCTTTGGCAAGCGTTGTGTACCGCCGTCGCAGCGGGGCCGGCCTTGACGGAGTGCTTTGCGCAGGGCTGACCTGGCCAAGGGCCGCATCATGATGGACTTCAAGGTGCCCACCATCACGCTCGTCAGCAAGTACAAGACGCGCGGCCGCGTCCTGGTGATCCCCATCAACGGGGAGGGCCGTGCCAACATCAGGATGGGTGAGTCCGGGCCGGACTAGGCGGACCGGGGCGCCGGAGTGGACCAGTACAGTGCAGGCGGCAGTTTCTCATTTCCCACTTTTTACTTTCCACTTTCCAGATAACGTGCAGATTAAGCTGAACCTCCAAGGCCACAAGCAGCAGCAGGGCGGCAAGGACTTCTTCAACGTGGAAAACGTCGAGTTCGACATCATCCCCCAGAAGACCGCCTTCAAGTTTGTCAACCCTGCACACGCCCAACAGGGTGAGTCCATTTCCTATTTTACACGTTTTAAAAGTTTTCCCTGTTTCTTGCGACGTGTGTGGGGTCAACGGCGAGGTGCTTGTTGCAGCCGAGCTGCTGAGCCGCGTCGTCAGCGAGAACGACAAGTCCATCATGCAGGAGATGCGGCCGTCCATCGCGGCGGCCTTCGCCAAGAGGATCAAGACCTACGTCTCCCCCGTGTTCGACATCCCCTACGACGAGCTGTTCCCCCAGTAATCGCCCCGCATCCACCCCCACTCTCGAACTGCTGTGATAAGTTACTCTAAAGGGCCTGTGTTCCCTAGACCAATGACACTACAAATGCATGTACATAGTCCTCATATTTTTTCATCAATAAACTAAGTTAGGAATTGTTTATCAGTGCCAACTCATTGCGTTGCACGGCTTGTACACGATGGTGGTGAGCTGGTAGGTGGCGGCGGCCGAGGTGATGAGGCAGGGCGGGAACACGTACAGCGGGCCGGGGTGGCGGTGGCGCGAGCGCCAGGCCAGGTCCAGGCAGTTGCGGGGGATGTCGGCGATGAACCGGGCCACCTGGCCCGTGGCCTCCAGGTAGCAGCCGAGCTTTGGCAGCAGGGCTGCGCAGACACAGGGCCACACTCAGTGACAGATCGGAACACAAACAAGTAGAAAATCGCCAACACTGCTCCCCAGACTGAAGCGGTGTAGCCCGCGTCAGTCGGTCTGCTGCCACACTGTTGGGCGGGGTAGTGCACGTACCCTTCGTCGAGGTGGTGGCGAGCGCGGCGTCGCGAGGGGCTGCCGCCTGCACACAGGGCACTCCGTCACACACACGCCGTGATCGCAGCAACAACCAAAACAATGCCGATTGCGACGTGCAATCCGATCCTTACCTGGGCGCAGGCCACCCCGGCGAGCAGGGCCAGGCCGAAGCAGGTCAGGACGGTGTTCATGGCGTCGGCGAGGAGTCACGAGGAATGGGCCCACGTCCCGTGCGGTTGTCCTGCCGCAATCGGACGGAGCTGATAATTTGTGGCACTCGAGAGTAAGCGCGAGAGTGATTGATTGATTGGCTGCTTCAAAAAACACGCCTTGAATCATGTCCTGTCCAAGCGCGGAGTGGCGGTGATGCGGCGCGAGCGCAGATAAGCCACATGGAACTGCCGTTGACCTATTCGCATTCACGTATTTCGTGATTTCGTGTCTATCGTCCGTTGCTGGGATGGTCATTTTCCCGCGGTCGTTCACATCGCTGCTGCCGTGAAAGGATAGCGCCCACTGCTAGGTAAATCGGCGTGTGTGGAGCCGAGTGGAGGTCAAAGGGGGGAAAAGGGGAAGACAAGGCGGCCAAGACAGGCGGCGCGGCTTGGAAACTCGGAACCCGAAGCGGCAGCGGCACTGATTTCGATTTTCGCCTGCTTGCTAATCACGGCACTGGCAGCCGGCACGAGGCGCGGCGTAGCGGGGAGGGGGAGGGGGGGAGGGGGCAGAGGGTGGCCCGTCCCGCTGTGCCCTTGGTAGCCGCCGTGCCGCGCCGCGCCCTGCCGCGCACCCTCTGCCACCGTTTCGCGAAGGAGGTCACCCTGGCCGAGAGCGCCACGGCCGCCACGCGCCTGGCCTAGACTGGGTACACGGGGTCAGCCATCATCCGGATACAAAAAGAAAGGCGCCAAATTGAGGCGACGGGGCGGCCAGGCCTGGGCCAGCCCGCCGTCCGTCGCCAGGGCCTCGGCGAGGGCGGGGCGGTGACGGCCAGGGTGACGCCCAGGGTGACGCGTGCAGGCGCCGCGCCCTCCACCTCCATGTGCGGCAGGGAGAGGCTGGTCTGCGTACGCGTGCTCGGCCCTCGCGCCCTCCATGTGCGGGCGGACCGGGACGGACCGGGACGGACGGCCGCGGCGCCCCGGCACGCGCGCCGCCCGGCGCTGAGCGCTGCCGCGGGTCGACCGGAACGGGAACACGTGCACCACGTGGTGCGCCACCTCGGGCGCCTCACCGCGCGCCGCTGCAGCAGCACCCTCTGTCGAGTGGGAGAATAAACTGATGGTCGAGCAGGCATACCCCTTGACGGCAGTTGTTCCGAATTGCGAAAAAAAAAATCATTTGCGCTTTTAATGAAGATTGTCCGGAGGACAAAGGGGGGGAGCGTCAAAAATAACAATCGATACCTCAAACTTCGGCTGCTGTAGGTTGGGGCAGTTGATACGACTAAGTCGACACCACAGATGACCTGACCGATGACGCGGGGCCACTGCGGTAATGAAAACAAAAGCATCCTTAGATTGGAGAAACTATTTACACCTCCCTTTTGGCGCATTTCCCCAGAAGATGGTGAACCCACCCCGTGCCTTGCCACGCTACACTGTTCAGGCCGCAGGGTGAACCACCGAGCCACGCCCACCGCGTCCTCGTGAGTGAATGAATACTCGTCAAAAGGGGAGAGGGGGGGCACGGCACCACTCTTTCGGGGCCTTTTGCCCTGGCAACCTGTCCGGGCCGTACTGGTCGGCCTGCCCGGGGCCTGCCCGAGGCCTGCCCCACCCGCCGTCTTGCCGGCTTGCCGATGTCTCGCCGAGACGAGGACGAGACGAGACACGTGGCACCAATTTCAGGGCAGTTACGCCTCAAGCCGCCGCCGCGGAGGGTGGGGGAGGGGGAGAGGTGGATCCAGGGTCCAGTCGGACAGCCGCACATTTCCTCACCCCAGGGCTATCCGACTTGGGGAAGAAAAATTTTGGGGGCGGCTCATTGTGTCTACCAAAAAAGCGTCTACCATTACAAGGTAGGTTTACGCCAGACCGCGTCTTGTCGTAACAGGCTTCGCGATGTGTCGCTGCCTGTTTCTCCAACCCGCGCCTGGCGTACCTACCTTGGCCTGCGGCGCTAGGCTGCCTCCGGCAGACAATGCTTGTCCATCATCAGTTACTTCAGAACTGTTGCATGCTGGGGGGCTCCGCCCCCAGACCCCCCTTTATTCTAGATAGAGGTGCTTCATCTACAAATTACACGATCTTGACCCTTGTAACTTTTCAACTTGTCGTGGCTGGGGGGCTCCGCCCCCCAGACCCCCCTTTCATCCAGGCAGGAGAGGTCTACCGACAGAAAACTCGATTTTTCGCCGTTTTTTAGGTGTTTTTCGGCTATAAAAACTGAACCACTTGAGCTAGGATGGTGAAATTTCGCGTGTGCCGAGCCAAGAACATACCTAATAACCCTGCGAAATCTCAGCCAGATCGGCCGAGCCGTTCAGGAGGAGTAGTGTACACACACAGACAGACAGACAGACACACAGACAGACAGACAAAACTTTTCAACCGCACTGGAGTAACAGGCTTCGCTATCGCTCAGCCAAAAATGGGGGCGGCTCATTGTGTCTACCAAAAAAGGCGTCTACCATTAAAATATTAATATTTCAAATAAACATGCTTTTTTTTGAAAAAATCTCATTCAACGAACGTTAATGAAAGCAGATGATACTCGTTTGGTTTTCTTTCGATGATATTCGTTTGGTATTGTCGTGTGTGCTAGTTGTAGCGGTGTGCTCTCATCGGACGGAAAAAATTTTGCTTAGGTTCGGTTGTGTTAGGTTGGGTTAGGTAAGGTTAGGTGAGGTTAAGCCGAATTTTATTTCGCCCGGACAGGCTTCCCAAGCCTAGGTTGCACTAACCTAGCCTAACCTAGCCCTACTGAGGCCATTCTGGCCCCATCGGACGGAAAAAATTTTGCTTCGGTTCGGTTGTGTAAGGTTGGGTTAGGTTAGGTTAGGTTAGGTTAAGCCGAATTTTATTTCGCCCGGACAGGCTTCCCAAGCCTAGGTTGCACTAACCTAGCCTAACCTAGCCCTACTGAGGCCATTCTGGCCCCATCGGACGGAAAAAAATTTGCTTAGGTTCGGTTGTGTTACGTTAGGTTATGTTAGGTTAGGTTAGGTTAGTTAAGCCGAATTTTATTTCGCCCGGACAGGCTTCCCAAGCCTAGGTTGCACTAACCTAGCCTAACCTAGCCCTACTGAGGCCATTCTGGCCCCATCGGACGTAAAAAAATTTGCTTAGGTTCGGTTGTGTTAGGTTGGGTTGGGTTGGGTTAGGTTAGGTTAGGTTAAGCCGAATTTTATTTCGCCCGGACAGGCTTCCCAAGCCTTGGTTGCACTAACCTAGCCTAACCTAGCCCTAGTGAGGCCATTCTGGCCCCATCGGACGGAAAATATTTTGCTTAGGTTCGGTTGTGTTAGGTTGGGTTGGGTTACGTTAGGTTAGGTTAGGTTTAGTTGGGTTAGGTTAGGTTCAGCCGATTTTTATTTCGCTCGGACAGGCTTCCCAAGCCTAGGTTGCACTAACCTAGCCTAACCTAGCCCTACTGAGGCCATTCTGGCCCCATCGGACGGAAAAAATTTTGCTTAGGTTCGGTTGTGTTAGGTTGGGTTGGGTTAGGTTAGGTTAGGTTAGGTAAAGCCGAATTTTATTTCGCCCGGACAGGCTTCCCAAGCCTTGGTTGCACTAACCTAGCCTAACCTAGCCCTAGTGAGGCCATTCTGGCCCCATCGGACGGAAAATATTTTGCTTAGGTTCGGTTGTGTTAGGTTGGGTTGGGTTACGTTAGGTTAGGTTAGGTTAGGTTGGGTTAGGTTAGGTTCAGCCGATTTTTATTTCGCCCGGACAGGCTTCCCAAGCCTAGGTTGCACTAACCTAGCCTAACCTAGCCCTACTGAGGCCATTCTTGCCCCATCGGACGGAAAAAAATTTGCTTAGGTTCGGTTGTGTTACGTTAGGTTATGTTAGGTTAGGTTAGTTAAGCCGATTTTTATTTCGCCCGGACAGGCTTCCCAAGCCTAGGTTGCACTAACCTAGCCTAACCTAGCATTACTGAGGCCATTCTGGCCCCATCGGACGGAAAAAATTTTGCTTAGGTTCGGTTGTGTTAGGTTGGGTTGGGTTAGGTTAGGTTAAGCCGAATTTTATTTCGCCCGGACAGGCTTCCCAAGCCTAGGTTGCACTAACCTAGCCTAACCTAGCCCTACTGAGGCCATTCTGGCCTCATCAGACGGAAAAAAATTTGCTTAGGTTCGGTTGTGTTAGGTTAGGTTAGGTTAGGTTAAGCCGAATTTTATTTGACCCGGACAGGCTTCCCAAGCCTAGGTTGCACTAACCTAGCCTAACCTAGCCCTAGTGAGGCCATTCTGGCCCCATCGGACGGAAAAAAATTTGCTTAGGTTCGGTTGTGTTAGGTTAGGTTGGGTTACGTTAGGTTAGGTTAGGTTGGGTTATGTTATTTTCAGCCGTTTTTTATTTCGCCCGGACAGGCTTCCCAAGCCTAGGTTGCACTAACCTAGCCTAACCTAGCCCTACTGAGGCCTTTCGTGAAAATTTTCGAATTCGGTTTTAACTTAACCTAACCTAAATTAACTCAACCATCCCCAACCAACTTTTTTCATCAGATGGGCCTAGAAGGGCCCCTGGGTTTAGGCTAGGTTAGGAAAATTTTTTAGTGTAACCCAGGCTTGGAAGCCTTTCCGGGCATTTCGAATTCGGCTTAAACCCAAAAACCAAACCTAACCAAACCCCAACCACCCCCAAACCCAAAAATTTTTTATCTGATGGGCCTAGAATGGCCAGGTTAGGTGGGGTTTAGGCTAGTTTAGTGAAACCCCGGGCCCCTCTGGAACCCTTTTCCCTTTGAAAGTTCCAAAATTGGGTTTTAAACCCCTAACCTAACCAACCTAACCAAAACCCAACCACCCCCAAACCCCAATTTTTTCATCTGATGGGCCTAGAATGGCCTAGGTTAGGTGGGTTAGGCTGGGTTTAGTGTAACCCAGGCTTGGAAGCCTTTCCGTGCATTTTTCAAATTCGGAAAAAACCCAAAACCCTAACCAAACCCCAAACCCACCCCCAAAACCAACTTTTTTATTGGGGCCTAGAATGGCCAGGTTAGGCTAGGTTAGGCTAGTTTTTGGGTTAAACCCCAGGCTCTGGAAGCCTTTCCGTGCATTTTCGAATTCGGCTTAACCAAAACCTAACCTAACCCCCAACCATCCCCAACCAACTTTTT